CGTGGCCCAAGTGCCAAGAAAGTGTCCTCCGATTATGCTTTTGATGCCTTTGAACACTTGTTCGTCACTTAAAAAAATTAATAGTATTTATTTATATAAGATTTGGTTAGATTATTTAACATTATATAAAATTATTGAAAATAAGGTTTCTTCATAACTACTTACAAAAGAACATCTGCAGGGGTCACCCAAACAGCTCCTTCGTTGTTGCGCTCCGCTTCGGACATGGGCGCATAGTTAGGGCGGGGAGCTGAGGTCGATTGTTCGTTGCTCATCTAAAATATATTAATTTAATTTGTTTTTTGTTAGAACTCTTATAATAGAAGATCAAATTTTTATGTAAGTATTGTCTATTGTCAATGTATATAACATATTAAACTGGGTATAAGTTTAATATTAGGTTCCAATAATTGCTAATAAACAAATCCTATAATTATTAATGAGTTGACACAGTCGACCGAAGAATCAACCGGTTGGAGCTCATCAATGAGTTGACCCAGTCGATTCATTGATAAACTCCATCCTGACGATTCTTCAGGCTACGCCTTGAACCATGGATGGGCTACATCACATGTAGCGACATAATGTCAGTACATGCGTTTGGGAGAGTCCATCGATGACTCAAGCCGTAGCCAGAAGAATCCACAGATTGGAGCTTATCTAAGAATTGACTAGGTCAACTCATTGACAAGCTCCAACTGATCGATTCTTCGATCGAGTGGGTCAACTCATTGATAAATTATAGGATGAGTTTATAAGAAATTATTGAACCACTCATATTAAACTTATACACAGTTTATTAAATTTTTATAGGGAAAAATAATAAAAATACCCCAAACTTTGATGGGATGTGACAAGAGCACCACAAACTTTCATATGTAATTTAAATATCTCAAAGTTTAGGGTATATTTATTATTTTTCACTATAAAAAATTATAGTGAAAAATGCCCTTGGAGGTAACATGAGGGGTCCATATTTTTTCATAATAAGTTCTTCTATATTAGGGGTCCATATTTTTTCATAATAAGTTCTTCTATAGCATATTAAACTATCTATTAGTTTAATATGAGGGGTCCATATTTTTTCACAATAAGTTCTTCTATAATTTGGCAATAAATTGCCCTTGGAGGTAACATGTTAAACTTTTTGCAAAGTTTACATGAGAGGAGATCATTTTTTATGTTTTAGATATATCATTTTAAAATAAATTTAAAACAGTTTGTTAAATCAAGTTTTTAAAACACTTTTTATTAAAACAGTTTTTATAAAAACAGATTTTATAAAAACAGTTTTTATAAAAACAGTTTTTATAAAAACACTTTTTCTTATAACAGTTTTTATAAAAACTGTTTTTTACAAAAATCGGTTTAATAAAACAGTTTATATAAAACAGTTTATTTATATCAATTTTTATAAAAACAGTTTTTTTAGATAAATTATAAAAACAGTTTTTATTAAAACAGTTTGTATAAAAACAGTTTTTATTAAAACAAATTTTATTAAAACTATTTTTTACAATAATCTGTTTAATAAAACACTTTTTAATTAACAGTTTTTATAAAAACAGTTTTTTTAGATAAATTATAAAAACAGTTTATATAAAAAACAGTTTGTATAAAAACAGTTTTTATAAAAACAGTTTTTATAAAAACAGTTTTTATAAAAACACTTTTTATTAAAACAGTTTTTATAAAAACTATTTTTTACAATAATCTGTTTAATAAAACAGTTTTTAATTAACAGTTTTTTTAAAAACAGTTTTTATAAAAACAGTTTTTTTTAGATAAATTATAAAAACAGTTTATATAAAAACTGTTTGTATAAAAACAGTTTTTGGAAAAACAGTTTATCTAAAAACAGATTATAATTTAACAGTTTATAATATAAAAAATAAAAATAATTTTTTATGCTTATACTATTATAAAAAACAGTGTTTCGTCCAGTTTTTTTCGGGAATAAATTTATATGTTTAATATTTTGTTAATGGATATTACGGAAATTATATTTAAACGTGTTAACCTATTTTTGGAAGTTTAACACGAGGGGCTATTTATTTAAACAGTTTTTTTTAAAATATTTTAATAAATTAAATATTTTCGGAAATTACATTTAAAGTAATACATGTGTATAGAGAGGCATGCAAATCAAACACTAAACATATATATTAAACATCGTACTAATTGTATAAGCATGCATTAGTTCGAATACATATTGAGCAAGGTTTAAATAAAAAAAAGAATATAATATATATGAACAAGAAAATAAAGACAGTTTATTTAATAAGTTTGTTCAAATATTTTCATAAATTACATTCGGAAATTAAATTTTTTTTTTTAAATTAAGTTTGTTGAAAAACAGTTTATAAGTACTTTAATCATGCATATGAACATATATTAAACATAAAATAATCTAAATCATTTAAACATAATTATCATGCATACCAAACATATGAACCGATATTATCATGCAAAACTACAAATCATGCATATAATAAATCATACATACAACTTTTGAACATTACAAGATGATATGAAACTAAAAATCATGTATCTTATCATGCATTTGAGTATAGTATCATGCATTTTTGGATTTTATATCAAATATTAGCAAATAAGATGAAAAGAACACATAACCTTGACTGAGAAAAGAAGGGGCGGCGACGGAAGGCGGCGGACGACGGCGGACTACTGGTTGTAGACGACGGGAACGGCGGATGCTAGGCGGCGACGGCGGCGACGGCAGATGCTAGGCGGCGACGGCGACGGCGGCGGCACTAAGCAAACTGGAAGAGAAGGAAGAGAGAAGGAAGAGGTGGTTTAGGGTTTGAGATATGGTGCGTAGGATTTTTTAAAAAATCGCTAAGTGTTTGTTTTATATAATTGTTTAGTCACGGTCATAGTCACGGTCAGGACCGTGACTAAACCCTTCGTAATTGACGATGTCAGCGAGGCGGTCAGAGCCGCCTTTAATCGGAATAGTCACGGTCAAAGCCGTGACTATGACCGTGACTGTTTTTAAAATTTGAAAGTAGTCACGGTCATAGTCACGGCAATGACCGTGACTATTGTGGTCAGCGCCCCTCTGACCGTCAGGCCTGACTTCGGCATTTACGAAGGGTGTAGTCACGGTTCTGACCGTGACTACAACCGTGACTATTTAATTTATAATTTCATTTTCCTGTCACCCAAGCATTTTATGCTAAAAAATGACTAATAAAGAACCAATTGACTGAGATATGATGCGTACAAGAATGTGTCGTCTGAAACTATGTACACAACTTATTGAACCGAAAAATGAATAAGGTGTGGTTCTGTTCGTCTTTGTGTTAGTTATTACTTATTGTTTATTCTTATTTTATTCAAATCAGATCAGATTAGAAAAATTCAGACATGATTTATTATTATTAATAATAATAATTATTATTCTTCTTATTATTATTATTATTATTATATCGTTATAATAATATTAATTGTGTTTATATTAATTGTGTTTATATTACTATTATAATATTATAATACCATCGTAATTGTAGTGTGGACTGTGGAGTATTAAATAAACTGCTTTGAATTTATGTGGTATAGAACAGATTAAGGAGTAATTATTTTACAAACAATAATGATGAAAGAAATTATCAAATATGCTTGGAGAAATTATATCACAAAATTGAAATTACAACTGCACAATTACTCGCTGTCAGAATCGTTATTTTCTACATATATAGTGTCTTCTTCTGTATCTGAACCGTCTATCCATTCACCTTCTTCCTGATATTGAGCGTTTTGTTGTGCTACATACATTTCCTCAATTTCGCGCTCAGATGGAATGGTTAGGTCCGGAAGGTGCGTTTCTGGCATGACTTCAACACGTCCGCCATTTGGATCACTTAATTGGACGTTATAGTTGACCGTCTCAACAATAGGCGGATGTTGGAAAAATTGTTGCTGAAAAGCATCTAGATCAACGTCCTTGTGTTGAGTTTGTGATTTTATTTTGTTCGGACGGACAGGACATGCACACACCCAAGGATTCTGTGTCCGCCTTGTTGAAGGATATTCTGCATAATAAATCTGCGCTGCTTGTTGGGCGAGTATGAAAGGCTCATTTTTCGGGTACACACGAGAGAGGTTGACGTCAATCATATTATACTTCGGATTTTTGCGCACGCCACGTGTGGGGTCGACCCATGTGCAACGGAACAGAACGCATGTCAATTTTTTCGCACCAGAAGGCATCTCAAGTTCCAGAATCTCCTGCAGGACACCAAAAAAATTGGTTTCCGAGTTATCATAACCGATGGTCGGGACACATAACCCGCTGTTCGTTGTTGGTCGGCCCTCTCCGTAATCGGCTGTGTGATATGTGTAACCGTTTATCACATATTGCCGCCACACTTTGGCACTGGCACTTGGGCCCCACGCTAATGATACTAACAAAGGGTCGACAATCCCACGACTATTGATCTGTAAATATAAACATAATAATAACATTAGGTAAACATTAGATAATATATATAATTAATGTGTGTGTATATATACCTGATACTTGTACCAATTTACAAAATCAGAGTCCACCAACGCATCAATTTCATTCTCAGGAAAGGCTGATAAAGAAGCTCGGAATTCACTGTGAAGTCAAAAATAAAAAAAAAACTATAAATTAACTACAAATTTAATTTATAAGTATTACAATTATACCTACAAATTTAACTTACTGATAAAACGGTGAGATTTCTGGACAATTCATGAGGATATAAGTATGCGCAATTTGCAATTCCCCACCCAGGATGTATCGTTGTGTCGCAGCACCTTTACCTCTGCCTGGGTAATTGAAGATGGAAACTACATTTTCATATAAATCATCGCCAATGTCATCGTTCCGGGCAGGTCTCTTCCTTCTGGTGATGACCTCACGCTCGAAGTAAAAAGACGAGAACGTTGAGATTTCTTGTTGAAGATACGCTTGACAAATTGAAGCCTCAACGTGTGCCTTGTTGGTCACTTTCTTTTTCAGCTCTCCTAGAAATCTGCAATAATGCAATAATACACATGTTAACAGTTATTGTGAAATAAATATATTTTTTTAAATGAAATTGTGACTAACCTTTCAAATCTGTACATCCACCTATAGAAGACGGGCCCAGCAGTCAAAGCCTCATACGGAAGATGTATTATGAGATGTTCCATTGTATCGAAAAACGATGGTGGCATTATTTTTTCCAGATTACACATCAGAATGGGAACAGACTCTTGTAGTCTCCGGAGGGATGCCACATCCAAAACGCTGGAACATATCGATTGAAACAACAAACTGATTTCAGTAATGCAGGACCATACGTGTTCAGGGAGCATCTCTTTTAGTGCAATTGGTAGAAGTCTTTGCATTATTACATGAGCATCGTGAGTTTTCATGCTCGTCGTCGTGGTAAGTTTGTTCATGTCTACGCATCTAGACAAGTTGGAGCAGTAGCCATCTGGAAACTTCTGAGACGCAAACCATTTTAATATTGCTGCCTTTTGTGGTTCTGTGACCTGGTAGACTGCTTTTGGAACTTCCTTGCCCTGATATTCTAGATCAACAGAAAGTTCGGGTCTATCACACCAAATAGTCATATCTGGTGGCTCTTGGTTTGGCTCTTCCATAGCCGTAGGAAAACGTCGAACCCGGTTATAAATTTCTTCACCGGTCAATCTCGGGGGTGGGCTCTCTCGTACCGCTCTGCCTCTAATGAAAGACTTCTTGTCCTTTCGATATCGGTGCCTTTCCGGGAGAAACTTGCGGTGACAATCAAAGTAACTTCCTTTTTTGCTGTAACTGAGCCAGTTGGCACCTGATTTCTCCATGCATATCGGACATCCCATCAGACCGTGTGTGCTCCATCCCGAAAGCATGCCATAGGCAGGGAAGTCGCTAATGGTCCAAATGATGGCAGCTTTCATGATAAACATTTTATCTGATGAAACATCATAAGTTGGTGTCCCAACGGCCCACAATTCTTTCATCTCCTCAATAAGGGGTTGAAGATAAATGTCTATCTTTCGCCCAGGATCCTTGGAACCCGGACAAATTAAAGACAAAAAGATGAAATGACTTTTCATGCACATGTCGGGAGGGAGATTGTAAGGTGTTAACATGACCGGCCAACATGAATAGTTCTTGCCAAACCTGCCAAAAGGAGCAAATCCATCTGAGCACAATCCCAGCCGCACATTTCGTGGCTCCATAGCAAACTGAGGATGACAGCGGTCAAAGTGTCTCCAGGCTTCACAGTCCGAAGGGTGAGCCATCATACCCTCGTTGGTTTCGTGCTCAACATGCCATGTCATGTGTTTCGCAGTAGCAGTCGAAGCGTACATCCTTTGCAGTCGAGGAGCTATTGGGAGGTAATACAGTTTAGACAGTGCAGACCTATGTCGTGGTTTCTTTTTACCTTGACGAACAGGTTTGTATCTGTCTCCACCACAGAACTTGCAGAACTCAAGTGCCTCATCCTCCTTCCAGAACAACATACATCCTTCCGGGCACACATCAATTTCAACACAAGGTAGCCCCAACTTAGACATTAACTGCTTCATGTGGTAATATGAATCGGGAAGGGTATGATCTCGCGGTAGCATCCCTCCTACTGACTGCAAGACTCTATTCATGCAAGTTTCAGGGAGACTGTATTCGGATTTTATGTTCATGAACTCAGTAACAGCGGATAGCTGAGAGTATCCCTCACAATCAGCATACAGAGGTTGGTCGACAGCTTTTAGAACATCCTGAAATCTCTCAGCCAAACCTTCATCCACATAAGGTTGATAAAATGTCGGATTTTCATCCGCATCTGGTTGATACGAGGTTGAGGCTTCAGGGGGGTCGTTAGGTGGTTGTGGGGGGTTGAATTGAGACGGTACACCGTATGCGTCATATACCATTTGTTGGTCCCACCTCATTTCAGCACGGTCTCCCCACGCACTCATCTCTGGAGGGACGTAACGAGACGAACCTACCGTTTGTGGTATAACAGATGGATCCAAAGGTTCGCCGTGAGAAGTCCAATTATAATAATTGGGAACAAAACCGACCGCGTACAAATCATACCCGACTTCGTGTGGGTCTTTAAATTTGAGATTCTTACACTTTGAGCATGGACATCTTATTTTATCACCACTCATATAAGCCGGATGTTCAAGTGCAAATTCAATAAATTCCCCGACTCCCTCGAGAAAATTTGATTGCATTCCGTACAATACCGCATCTTTATCATACATCCAACTTCTATTTTGTTTATACATTATGCCTGAATATTATAATAAAAAATTATATGAAATGCAATGCACACAATTTTAAGTAATTTATTTCACTAAATATAATCAACTAATTTTCACTTTTTTTAAATGAAATGCACATAATTCACAACAATAATGCACAAAATATATGTCCCCTAATGCACAATAATGCAGATAATTTCACTAAATTAAACATACGTTTAATTAAATCTAACTAATTCATTTAGTTAAATTTAACTAAATTTAACTAGTTCATTCCGTCCCCTTTTAATGCATCACTACGTTTAAACCTACGTTTAGCTACCTAATTTAACTTAATTAACACATCAATAGCTACGTTCAAACCTACGTTTAGCAAACGAATTTTAATTAAATTATTTTTGTAAACCTACGTTTAGTTTAAACCTACACTAAATTATTACGTTAATGACATTTAATCTTATTAGTAATACACAATTAACAATTCACTAAATTAAATAATATGACCAAATTCAACCCAATAATTTGAACATGTATATAAAGTTATTTGAATTAATAAGCAATACACAATTCACAATAACAATTCACAATTCACTTAATTAACACATTACTAACGTACGTTATTTGAACTAATTTCACTAAACATAAACATCATTACGTTTTAAACTACGTACATTTAGCTAACTAATTTTAATTAAATTATTTTATAAACCTAAAAGTTTAACTAATTCTAATTTATGACATTACTACGCTTATAGTTAAAACATGTTGTTAATTAATTAACAACCTCACTAATTTAATAGTTTTAATAATTTAAATTGAACCAACTAATTCATTTTAAAAATTATAATTCAAATAACATACCTTATCTGCATAAACAGGAAAAATGATAGAAGATAGACTACATCCTTCGATCTTTCAAACGGATACTGTATATACTGGGAATGAATTGCTGTGGTTCTGTTCAATGAGCTGCTCCTGCATATATAAAAAATTTAGTCACGGACTTAGTCACGGATTTGTCCGTCACTAAGCAAAACCGTGTCCAATACGCGTCCAACACGTGTTAATGACGTGTAAATGACGTGTTAATCAAATTAGTCACGGAACTAGTCACGGACATGGCCGTGACTAAAGTTATCCGTACATAATACCGTTGCGCATTAAGTTAAGGGAGTTGAAAAAATTAAAATTTAATTATAGTCACGGGTATAGTCACGGATTTGGCCGTGACTAAGTCGTCGGAGTCAAATAAACTTCGCCGGAAACGGAAACGGGCCTATCGGAGGACTTAAGTCACGGGCCCAGACCGTGACTAACATTAGTCACGGTCATAGTCACGGTCTGGACCGTGACTATTTTTTTTTTAAAATTTCCGTGACTAGTCCGTGACTAGACCGTGACTAAACTAGTCACGGAACAAATCCGTGACTAAAATCCGTGACTATAACGCTGTTTTTTTGTAGTGGAAGGCGGCGAAAGCCCTAAGCTCCAAAATGGCAAAATCACCACACAAAAGCCCTACAAAAACCCTACGCGAGAAGTCTGGCAAAGCACATCTGCCTTTTTAATACTCCGTAGTCCGTATGCTAAACATGCATCTATGATACAAATTTAAATGCCAATTGCGATAACATAACAACAACAATAAATCTAAAAATTCATTGTAAAACTGAAAGCATGCAATTAACAAAATTTCATGTTATAGCCAGTTTATAATTTAAGCTCACAAGATACATGTAGGTTCATGATAGATTAGAGGATCCAGGGAGCTTGTGACTTATACTACGTTATCTATATATTATTTGTGTACATCCATACATAACACTATAACTTTTGTAACAAGTTTTTTATATCGGATCCGCTCTAAAGTGACACCTTTTTGCTGCAGTCAAGATCCTCAATATTTTGGCTCGACAAGTCAAACGACATCGTACAGTTCATCCTCACAGTGACGCTCTTCTTTATGATCACAACCTTTGCTTTCCCATGAATCTTAGTGGACAAGGCAACCGGCATCTTTCCCGCCAGCAAATCTCGCGGCAAACGTGACGCGCTGGCCAAATTTTGGACCAGAACGTTGACCGTCACGTTCATGGTCAACGTCCGCCGTGCCCTAGCGTTCCCCGGCGGACTCTTAGCCTCCCCCACCACTCTCCCGTCGTAAATCAAGCTCGTCGTCGCCTCGTCGAACCTGAACGACGCCCTGTTCGGGTTCTTCACGGAGATTCCGGCGGAGAGGGTCACGTTGACGTTAGGGTTAAGGATGCTGTTGGTACTCGTAAGAGAACTTAGACCGTCGATTCGGATGGAATCTGTCTTGATCGTGGGATCTTTGACCCGGAAAACAGTCAACGCTAATATTATGACCACGAGGATTATAATTAAGGTTGTCGCGCAGCAACAGCCGCCACACATGACGCACTTCCGTATCCGCCGGTCCTTCGCGGCCAGCCTTCCGGTTTCTGCGTCGTCCATGCGGTGGCTGTATCCGGAGGCGGCGGCCGGGGCCAGTGGCCGGACTTGCTCTTGCTCCTCCTTGACGAGGCCGGGAGATTGTGGAGGAGTTGCGGTGGTCATCATGGTCGAGCGCCGCCGCAGCTGCTTTGCTTAACTGTGCTGGTGGCGATAATAAATGCGATCGAGTGATGATTAGAATATAAATTAAGACGACTTGATTATTAGTAGTGTTGGGGTTTTGTTATTAAGGAAGGGCATTTTATCAGTGTACTAAGCGCGTTGGCGAGGCTTTGAATGTTCGGTCAATGGCTTCACGCCTTCACAGTTCACACATAGGAGACTTGACTAATGACTTTTAGTCACTCATTTGATAGTCAACTTTTCAATTTTATTATCATATCCAGTAAATCTTTTTTGAACAAATCCAGTAATTTTTTATTTCGTGTGTTCCAACTTCCAAGTTGAAAATGCTTATATGATTCAAATAATCTAAAAAATTATTTAGCCAATTTTAATGAGTTTTTTACAAGAAGCTAAGATTACTATAATAAAACTTATTTACATAAATATGACTATTCATTACTACAATATAGTGTTGTGATAACTTAAGTTCAAAACTTGAACATGAATTACTATGATTTCAATACTACTCTAGTAACTAGTCATATTTTTTTAAACCATCTTTATTTTAGTCATATTTATGTAATTATTTCAATTTTAATTGCATATACAAAATATTTTTTAGATTTTTAATATTACATAC